TCGTGTATGAGCAACCTCTACAGGTAGTTCAGATTGATTTGTGGGGTCCTGCATATATAATTTCTAATAATTCTAGTTACTATATCACTTTTGTAGATGCTCATACCATATATACATGGATATATTTCCTTCATAGGAATTCTGATGCTATTAATGTTGCAATAACGTTTCAAAAGATGGTTGAAAGACAATTAAATTGTAGACTTAAAGTAGTCCAAACTGACGACGGTTATAAGTTTAGACATTTAACTTTTTATTTTTCTCAACAAGGTATAGAGTTTCGACGATCTTGTCCTCATATGTCTGAACAAAATGACATGATTAAACGGAAATATAGACGTGTTATTGAACTTGCGTTAACTCTTCTAGCTCATGCATCTTTACCTCTTAAGTACTGGATTGATGCTTTTTATACAGCAACTTTTCTTATCAACAGGTTAACAAACAAAGCCTTGCAAGGTCTTACACTACATGAGAAATTGTTTAAGATGAAACTTGACTGCAACTTGCTTAAAGTCTTTGGGTGCTAGTGTTTTCATTTATAAGACCCTACAACTAACATAAATTACAATTTTGATCAAAACCTTGTGTGTTTCTTGGTTACAATTCACAAAAACATGGCTATAAGTGTCTTAGCGGTGATGGAAGAGTTTATGTTTCAAGACATGTTCAATTTAGAGACGACTTATCCCCTTTTGATAAAGTTTCCAGTATGGTGGATCAATTTTAAGAAAATTAAACAGCTCCACCATCTAAGTAACATTCCGTGGCATCCTTAAAGCTTCAAGTGTTACCAAGAGTTTGTACTAGACAATCTAATAATTTATTTCAAATCGAGTAGGATAATATTGAGTTTTAGTCCAACCCAATGAGTTACATTCCTATGCTAGTTTAGATGTTCAATCTAATGTTAGTCCAAATCTTAAATCTCGCCTTGATGCTCAAACTCAGGTAAATGTTTCCAAGCATAACTATTTGTCACAATCCATTGCTTCTTCATCTACTGCACAGCTCAACACAAATTTGTCTTCTGTTCAACCTGAAAGAGATAATATGAGCAGTCTTCAATCAATCAGCTCTCAATTTATTGAATCATAGGATGATGATATGTTTCAATGTAAAGTTAATACTCTAACAATTGATACTGTTCGAAGCACTTCACATGTACCTCCTCAACATTCTGCAGTCTTGCAATCTACTACCCATACCATAAGGGCACATCCGATGGTTACAATATCTAAAGTTGGAATCTTTAAGCTAAAGGTGTTTTGTGGAATACTTGGTCATTGTAAACCTACTAACATTCATCAAGCTATGCTTTCAAAAGAATGACGTCGAGCAATAGATAAGGAACTTACTACTTCAGTGGGAAAAAAACGTGGGATTTAGTTCCTTTTTCTACTGATCGCGTACCGATTAGATGTAAGTGACTTTTTACAAAAAAATAAGATATACAAAGCACGGCAAGTGATAAAGGGATATTCACAGAAAGCTGGGCTTGTTTTCCATGAAACCTTTACTCCAGTGGTCAAGCCGGTGATAGGATTTTGCTTACTGTAGCAAACGCCAATAACTGGGTTTTGAGGCAACTTGATGTTGACAATGCATTTTTAAATGGAGATTTAAAAGAAGTCTACATGCACTAGCAACCAGGGTTTGAACAGCAAAGCGTGAAGGGTGAGAGGTTAGTTTGTTGCTTGAAAAAAAAATCGTTGTATGGTTTTAAGCAAGCTCCCTGAACATGGTACAACAAGTTTAAGTCGTGTCTCCTAGAAGAGTTACAATTTTCAGCTTCACAGGAAGATGCCTCTTTATATTATTGAGAGTTTAAAGGCCATAAAGTCTATGTTATGGTTTATGTAGATGATGTGGTAATTTGTTGTTCAAACGCAGAAGAGGTTAATGAGGTCATAAGAAGAATTAATTTGATTTTTTCGCTTAAAGATCTTGGAAATCTAAATTTAGAAAACTGATATGTTAGATGCTACTCCAAGAAAAAAAAATTATGTACTCCAACTGATATGTTAGATGCTACTTCAGAAAAGCATATTCTCGAGCTTCTTCAGAAAACTGATATGTTAGATGCTACTCCAACTCCAACACCTATGATGACCTACTCCTCACCTCTCAGCTAGTGATGGTGATTCTTTCCCGAATCACACACAATACAGGCAGGTCATAGGTTCTCTTCAACATATATCTAATACAAGGCCTGGCATTAATTTTGCAGTCAGCAAGGTCAATCAATTCATTTACTTTCCGTTAGACAAACATTTGAAGGCGGTTAAACGTATCCTAAGGTATCTCAAAGGAACTATAAATCATGGGCTATTGTTTCAAGCTTTTACATCCCTAACTGGGTTAACAGGTTATTCAGATTCAAATTGAGGAATTAATGTGGATGATAAGCGTTTAACATCAGGGCATTGCATGTTTCTTGGGGTAATCTAGTAGCATAGAGCTGGAAAAAGAAAAATATGGTCTCTAGATCATTTGTAGAAGTAGTGTTTAGAAGTTTAGACAATGCAATGTGTGAAACCATGGGGATTAAGTCTCTTCTTGCTGAGCTTGGCCTAAATCTTGCATCTACACCTGTTATATGGTGTGCTATAGTGCATGCTTCAAATCATGTTCATCACGCAAGAATGAAACATGTTGAACTTGATTTAAGCTTTGTATCGGAAAAAGTAGCAAATGAAATTGTTAAAGTCAAGTATGTCCCAACTTTTAAGAAGCATGTAAGTCTGATGTTAAGAAGTTAGGTATAAGTTGTTAAAAAATAATTATGCAGTTAGATTTTAGGTTGTTAGAGTCTTACATATTCGTTGTAGTCTAGATTAGTGTTTCTTATAATTTTAATACTTATATTTATATATAAATATATACCAGAGGTATATTTGTATTATATAATATATAAAAAGTATTTTAAAAAATAATGATCAACTTAAAATGATATACCAATCCATTGATATTGAACTGACTCCTTTGGTCGTAATATTCTTAAATTATGTTAATAAATAAGTATCAGTGTTATTATTTGTTCATATAAACATGTATTAATTGATTTTGGAGAAGAAACGATATTTTTTTGATGATTTGTTTGTGAATTCAAACCAAGTGTAAATCATGCAAGTTTAGTTGGTGGAAGATCTTGAATATATAATGTCCACTTAAAGTCGTGTAGCTGACGTGCCGTCCCTTTCCGTTTCGGGATTTTCCATATCTGTCAAAGAAATACACTTTTGAATTTGATATGTTTAAATATTAAATTTCAAGCAACGTTGAATTTGAATAGAATAGGTATATCTGAGAAGGCTTATTATGGACAGATATATCTGATGATACATTAACTTAGTCATCTATTTCAATGTAATCTAACCAATCACCAGCAGCCTTATCTCTCAGATTATGATAATGGTGATGATGATATTGATGATCCCATGAACCAGCGACCCTTTGACCCGCTGACTTTTACTTTTTCTTTCTTTTTATTTTGGCTGTCCGCCGCCTACAGCCACCACTTTGAACGCACCAAGTTGGCTTTCAACATAATTATAGTACGTGAAACATGTGTGTACCAAAAAAAAAATAGTACGTGAAACATGGATTTGAACGGTGTACGTAGCGTTATTCATAGATTTTGATGGATCTAAGTTTATGATAAATATAACGTGGTTGAAAATATTTGAACCTGATGGCCTCATTTTGTTTTCTGTATTTATAGTAAAATGTGATAAACTTTAATTAGAAGAGTAAGCAAGCGGATAGACAAAATAAAGATGGAGTGGAAATTGGAAAATTGGCTTAATTCAGCACGTTCCCCTTGAGCCTGTTCCAACTTTCGGCTTCAACAAAGCGCGTTTGTTCTAATCTCATGCCACGAGTTTTATGGAATTTCCAAAATAAATAGCAAAATTTATTTTTATAAGAAATAACACAATTTTTTAATGTGTGGAAATTTCGTTGTGGCTTATTTTTCTTTTATTATTGATATTTATTTGGATACACGTTTTTCAAAGGTGATATTATCTTACTATATTCTGTCTAAATTAAATTATTTTATTACCTTAATTTGATTAGTATTATTATTATTTTATTATCTTAAAAGTAGTTTGTTCAAATATATTTGAAGCCGCAAAAAATTAAGAGATCAATTTAAAAATTGTATAATAAAAAATAGTCTATTTATCTCGTTTCCTAAACAAAAGAGGATAAATTACATTATCATTTTTGTTTCAAATTTTTAATATTTATCATTTAATTTGTATAAGATATATTTGATTATTTAGATATCAATTAATCATTAAATAATTACTTTAATTCTCATTATATTGATAATGTGGTACATTATTTTTTATTAATATCATATTATTATTGCAGTGAAAGTTAATTATAATAATTCGAATTTATTGATTGAATTCAATGATTAAAAGAATTTTTTCTTGAAATATTAGATTTAAGCAATTAATTCTTTAAGATTAAAAAATTTATAAATATATATTACTAATACGTGGGATAATTCATATTTTTACGTTCCTATTGCGTTATGAGATCGAGATGTATTAACTGTCGTCAATTTGTTATTACGTTGTCGTGGTTAAGTTGAATAGAAACACAGTTTATTTTCTTAAAGAATGACGATCCCTATAGATTTGACAAATGACTCCATTAAGTAACGCATAATTTTGATTTAATCTTATTCCACCATGACTCCAACGGTAATAAATATATCCAGCGTGGCTGCAACAGTAAAAAGTAGAAGGTAGAAATGAGGTCTATATAAGCTATGGTGCCCCCTTGATGTTTCCATTACAGACAAAGGTGTTTAAATCAAATTGCCATCCTCCAAAACAAGTAGGACATCATAGAGAGATTTAAAAGAGAAAAAATCTCCGTAACCATCCCTGATTCTACCCAAATTTAACTCAGATTACAGTTTGTTTCAAGTCCGTCATCCTCTATAAAAGGGCTCCAAAGGTTTCAGTTCTTTCACACAGCAAAAAGCTCTTGAAAGAGGCGAAGGCGAGTGGTGGAGTTAAAATAAAAATCAGAGACGCACAAAATATGGGTGCTTGGGCAATCGCAGTGCATGGCGGCGCTGGTGTAGACCCAAATCTTCCTAAAGAAAGGCAAGAGGATGCTAAGAGACTCCTCACTCGTTGCCTTGATATCGGAATCTCTGCTCTCCGCTCTAACCTCCCCGCCATCGACGTCGTTGAACTCGTCGTACGTAATTAGTAAACCTTCTCTTTCGTTTCATAATCTAAAACGGGAGATTCCATTCTGTAAAACTGGTGACGTTATGCTGATATTTTTGGTTTTGGTTGGTACAGGTGAGAGAGCTGGAAACGGATCCACTGTTTAACTCCGGGCGTGGCTCCGCCCTTACAGAGAACGGAACCGTGGAAATGGAAGCCAGCGTTATGGACGGACCGAAGAGAAGATGCGGCGCCGTTTCGGGCTTGACCACGGTTAAGAACCCGGTGTCTCTTGCCCGACTTGTAATGGATAAAACACCACATTCGTATCTGGCCTTTGCGGGTGCCGAAGAGTTCGCAAGGAAACAGGTCTGGTTTTTCGACAATTTAGCCAGCACTTTATTACGGTCCCCGAATGTTTTCGTTTTTGTGTTTGGAATCTTCGATTCCCTAGCTTTCTACGTGCTTATAAGCTTAGCCACGCACAACTTCAATGTTGGATTCTGTGCAGGGCGTGGAGTTGGTGGACAATGAATATTTCATTACGGAAGACAATGTGGGGATGCTTAAGTTGGCAAAAGAGGCCAACTCAATCCTGGTACGTTTTGTTTATTGATTCAGCAAATCACGTGATTTGGGGGGGGGACCATGTCCATGTGTTACATTTTGCTACTTTTGTCATTTGATCAGTTCGACTACCGTATCCCGACCCTCTGCACCTGCGGTGGCGGCACCGCTATGGAAAGTCCTATACAGATGAACGGTCTACCAATCACCGTCTACGCTCCAGAGACAGTGGGGTGCGTGGTGGTTGACAAGGAGGGTCACTGCGCTGCCGCCACCTCCACCGGTGGGCTCATGAACAAGATGATCGGAAGGATCGGTGACTCGCCACTCATTGGCTCAGGGACTTACGCTTGTGACTTGGTGGCCGTTTCATGCACCGGGGAAGGGGAAGCCATCATTCGAAGCACCCTGGCGAGGGAAGTGGCGGCGGTGATGGAATACAAAGGGTTGAATCTGCATGAGGCGGTGGATTATGTAATAAAGTACAGATTAGATGAAGGGAAAGCTGGGCTGATTGCTGTTTCCAAAAATGGTGAAGTGGCTTGTGGGTTCAACACCACTGGTATGTTTAGGGGCTGTGCCACCGAGGATGGGTTCATGGAAGTTGGTGTCTGGTGAAATGTCTTTGGGTTGCGGCCCGCAAATGCCTTTCCTTTTAGTCATTTTACTCCTGCTCCACTACTACCTGGTTTGATCATATAATTAAGCAAATCATTGTAATTGTACTGCCCCAGTAATGCAAATTATCATGTTACCATCTTTAATCCTCATGTTTTAATCATTGTAATAGTAATTGTAATTATTCTTAATGATTACGCGTTAGGACACCAACAATTATAAAAATGATTAAATATTGATTATTAAATAATTAAAACAACTGCAAGAGTGATTAAATATTTATTTTTTTGGATAAGTCATGTTCATTCCATAATTCAAAAAGAAACAGTAAAGCTGTACAAAGAATCAACACAAAGCCCTGTACAACCAACCATCACAGACCGGCTACCTAACCAGTGAAACAAATCAAAGGATCCCCCCCTTCAAGCAAAGACGAACATTCACCCTATCTGGCCTGTTAATACTACACCCCTGTAACCGAGCACTAGCTACCCCTCTAATGCACTCAAATACTTCATCAACAGCACACGAGGAACCCCTAAGCAATATGCAATTACGCTTCTCCCAAATGAAGTATAAAAAATTAATCCAAGCCAACTTTAAAATACAAACAATAAGAGATTCTCCCTTAGATTTTCCACAGCCCAATTCAGAGCATCCTCCCAACACAATGACCTACAAGGCAACCTACACGCCTGCATTATCCAATTCCAGGCACTACATGAGTAAGGACAGTCGCAGAAAAGATGATTCCTGCTTTCCACCTCCTCCCCCACACAACCCACAACTTCCATCCGAAATCATCCTCATACGAATAAACCTATCTCTAGTAGTCATCCTGTTCAAGATGATCATTCAAGAAATAATGGACATTTTAGGGATGTGCAAAGAAAACCATATCAGGTTTCCCCACTGCACCTTCTCCTTTTTATCTCGAATTCTCTCCCAAACCCATCCACTACTTACCTCATTCCAATCCACCACACTAGCAAATAAGTTTGCAGCCTCGCTCCTCGTCTTTGGAAGAGTCTTAATCATCCAGCTATGATAAAGTCGGCTGTTTACGGACTAAAACATTTCCCCTTCAAAAGTGACTAAACATTAATTATTAAATAATTAAAAATACTTAAAATAAATATTACTTTATAATTAACATAAAGTAAAAGGAAATAGTATCAGTAAATCATAATAAGTTGAGGCTCCTTAAACTCTTTTGTTTACATATTGGAAGCCCTAGTTTTCTGTTAATTTTTTCTCTATCTTTTATTTTTATTTGATTGGTGATGATACTAATTTCAATATTATTCATTGATTATCAATAATATTTACTTTTTTATCTTCTTCTATTTTTTATTTTTTTTCATTCAGTTTCATATTTTTAATTTTTTCTGTTTTTACTTTCTTTTAATTTTTAATAATTTAATAGAAAATTTTAATTTTTCTAAGTTTTAGTAATTTTTTTCTTATGAAAAGCTATTTTCTATTTCACTTTTTTTTACAAATCTTTTCTATTACACTTTTTTTTAAATCATTTAGTTTTATGATATATTTTTTCTATTTTTATGAGACTCTCTTTTTATTTTTATGATATTTTCTTTCTATGTGATATTTTCTTTCTATATTCCAGTACGTTTTTTGTTTTTATTATCAATTGTTTTATTGTTATTTTCATTTATTTTTGGCATGCGTTGGCAACTCCACCTTGTATTGCTGCCGCTTCACTTAAGACCATGGTTTTCAAAATCGGACCCGTCAGTGAACCGACCGTATTACCGGTTTACTGGTTCAATCGGTCAGACCAATAAGAAGAATCGGACGACATCATAATTAATTAATTATTTAAAAAATTAAATAAAAATATAAATAAACATTTAATAAAAAAACAGTTTTTTATATCACAAATCATATTCAAAGCAAGTTATAACATATATAAGTTAAAAACCATAAAATCAAGTGAAACAAAATGATTCAAATCAACTACAACATAATATTTAAGGTAAAACATATTAAATAATAAATATAATTATATAACTATAATCAAAAAATAAATTTGGGGCTAAAAAAATCATAACAAATGATGTCGATTGGTTTAATTTTAAAAAAAAAATCACTCATGGCTAAGAAACATAGAAGAGCATCACAAAAGTCTAAAGAGTAAAAATATGAAAACAAAACAATCCCACATGGCTAAGAAACATAGAAGAGCATCTCAACTGACTTCTATAAATAATAGAGGTAATTTAACATTCAAAATCATGGAGCATTTTGGTGAGCACAGAGCGAACTATTCTTTTGCTTCAATCGAGCTCGAATTTCAGGCTTCAATCGAGCTTCTAATTTTTTTTGAGCTATATCCTTTTTGAGTTCAAGTTTCAATATTATATTTCAAGTTCGAGTTGAACTTGATAATTTTTAGCTCGTGAGTTTTTTAGTCGAATTGAGAGCTTACTTTTAACGATTTTGAGTTCGACTCGACTCGTTTAACAAACGACGTCGTTTGATTTATTTTTTTTTTAAAAAAAAAATCAGAACCGGTTTTCAACCAGTTCAACAGTTCCTTCTGGTTCACTAGTAGCAGTTTAACCGGTGTAGAATGAACCGGACCAGACAGCGGTTCCCGGTTGAACCGACCGGTCCGGTCTGGTTTTCAAAACACTGCTTAACACGTGCTGAGTTTCCCATTTGGTTACCTTTTGAGCGTCCACTAAAGCTATTTAAAATTAGGTAAAACTATACTAGATATTATCAAATTTTATTAGTTACCTTATTTATATTATTGAAATTTTATTTTATTACTTATAACAATAAATTTTAGATCTACATTCAATTATATTACTACATCGTTAAGTCAATAATTAGAATATAACATAGTTAATAGTTGTTAACATGGAATGTCCCACCAAAACGACATCGTTTAAGTACGGTTATTTGGATGTCTAAACCAACATTGTTTAGACATTAAACTTTAGGAGAGTATCAATTTTACTACTGAACTTTCAAACAGTTTTCTCTTTTAGCACTACACTTTCTGATCATCACCAACAACCAAACACCGTCCATAATCGATCATATTTCACCACAAGATCGGCATCAAAAAGTTCTTATTCCACTACTCTTTCTTTTTTTAGGATTGATTTTTCACGAAACACACTCAAAATCGATAAAATTCATTTCAAAGTTTGACATATTAATATTCAATTACCATCCAGTGAAATTAATTTTGAGGTATGTTGTTCATCTTCTTGAAATAATACTTTTCAAAGTTCAAATTTATGAACAAACATTTCAAATCATGTAAATCTAAGAAAGTCTCCAAACATCTAAAAATTGATAGATTTTTTTGTTTAATTTCGTCGATTTTGAGTGGATTTCGTGGAAAACTAATCATATGAGAAGAATGAAGAGTGGAATGTGAACATTTTGATGTCGACTTTATTGCAAAGACAATCGATGATGGGTAGTGATTGGTTGCCGACAGCGGACGAAAAATTTAATGTGAAAAAAATAAACTATTTAAAAGTTCAATGGCAAAATCGATACACTTCTAAAACTCAATGCCTAAAACAATGTCATTTTAGGCATCATAACAATCTCACAAAAATATATTCATTTTGGTGTGTCATAGTACATCAACAAACGTTAATTATGATATTGTCTGTTAGTAACTTAAAGATAGAGTGATATAACTGAATATAAAACTAAAGTTAATATGAAAAAAAAATAAAAGTTCAATAATATAATCGAATTAATAAATAAAGTTCAATGTATCTAAAATAATTTTATATTAAAATTATTCAATACGATATATTTGATATATTTACATGTTAATTCGGATAAAAGTAATTGTGTTTTTTTTTAATTATTAGACCGAATGCCCGATTTACTATTTCCAGGTTTACGAGATGACACACAAGCCACAATATCCAGTCTGTTTGGTACAAGACAATCCAATTTCTTTTTTTATTTTAGATTAGATTTTATTCTCAATCCTTAAATTATTTCGTCTTAACATTCAAAATTTTTAATTTTTTAATTATTTTATTCTAATATTTTAAATTATTCATTTTAATCTCAAAATATTATAAATTTTCTTTAATTCTATTTGAATTGTAATTAAGATTTTTACGTTTTTTGTTTGAATTATGTATCACATAGTTTTAAGTTTTATGTTTATCTTCATAGAATATTTTGTTTTAAAAAGATTGATATATGAGTGTTGCTAGATGGGCCGCGCAATCGGAAAATTTCTACTTGAAAAATGTTGTCCTGATTGTTTCTGCTGGGGCCCTGGAGTTGGAGACATGGGTTTAAAGGCTTGAATGTAGAATTGTAAAGATGAAAAATGTAATTATGCACGTATCTTTTTGATGAAGTAGTAAAATCCATGGCGAATTCCTGAAGGTAATCTAAACAAAAATGGATCAGAAGTATTATTTTCAGGTTATTTGAGAATCCACAATAATCAATGAGAGAAAACTACATTTCCTGAACAGTAACATGTTGTTACAACTTTAGGAACACGAACTCTTCCACAGCTGATATTTCTCCTATTTTCTTTAACGCATCTCTGCTGGGTTCGTCATCCACACCAATGGCCATCACAGCTTGTTTCCCAGGTGCAATCCTACAAACACTCATGAAGTTTACATTTACATTTTCCTCACCTAGTATACTCCCCACCTTCCCAATGATCCCAGGTTGATCAACCTGCCTGCACAGTATAATACTTCCTTCAAGGCTTACATCAACACCAAAGGATCCAACTTTGCTCAAATAGGGTTTCCCGTCTTTCACCGTTCCTTCCACCGTAATCTCACCCGAATCACACATTGCACTAGCAAATTTAGATTCAACGTTGGCAATTCGAACCTGGATGAACTCCAGTGGCTTCTCGGGTGAACCATCCAATACTATACGCTCTTCAGTTAACCTGAGTCCTCTCTGTTTAGCTATGAAGTCAGCATTCACTAAGTTCACAAAAACACTAGATATTGGCTCAATTAGACCCTTGGTTATCATAGCTCGGAGCAACCGAGTATCGAGATCATCTGGACCTCTAGAGGAGGCATATGTCGCCTTTACAAACTTCACACCGTTTCCACCTGTAACCAACTGCACTGCCAATCTACCCAGCTTCTCTGTCAGCACAACATATGGGGAAAGTTCTAGAAGCACCTGTGATATTGAAACAAGAAAACTTGAAATGCACATGATTACCAAACAAAGACAAACATCCAAGAAAATTCTAGACCATCTCAATGAAATTAGAGTATTTTTTTTATAAAGGATACAATACTTTTTGCATTAAGTGAAGAATTATTTAACACTGTGAAAACAGATAGGGCAATCCAATCTTTATTCATCATGCAAAAAGAAACATATACAAGAAAAAACAAATTTTGAGATGTTACCTCGGCAGGCACCATTGGGGCATTTACAGCGGTAGCAGCAAGGTCCCCTTTCAAAGCCCCAACAACAGCTTCAGCAATTTCAAGGGCTACACCTTCCTGGTAACAATATAAGGCAGTAAAACCAATATAAGAAGAGGTACAATAAGGGTAGAAGCATAATTAGGTAGTCATGTAGGTACCTGTGCCTCTGTGGTACTAGCACCAAGATGAGGAGTTGCAGTCACATATTCATGCAAAACTAACTTATTCTCCTGTAGAGGGGGCTCTTCTGTGAATACATCAAGTGCTGCCTGCAAACAAAACATATAAATGATCGTTCAACCAGCAAGCAGCAAATATCTTCTTATTTATATTTTTACTTTTGCATATCAAGCACTTGCTCTGCCTTGTACAATACGTCACACAGTTTTTACCATGAAATCAATTGCATTTATAATATATTTAACCAATAATCATTTTGCATATCCAGGATTAGTTCCATGGTTTTTGTTAATTGCTAACTACATGTAATATTTTGTGACACTTAGCTTATATCATATATCAAGTAGCAATGAAAAGAAGTGTGAAAAGGCTATAAATTAAGCTGCAAGACTTGTGATATATATGAACATATACCTGAGCAACTATCCCTTCATCTAAGGCCCGTAGTAAAGCTTCCTCGTCAATAACACCACCACGGGCCACGTTAACAATACGAACCCCTTTCTTCACCCGAGAAAAAGCCTCATCGTTGAACATTTTTGATGTAGCAGGGGTGAGAGGCATGTGCATGGAGATGAAATCAGCTGTTACTAATGCTTCTTTAAAGGTCACAAGCTCCACGCCAATGGCACGAGCACGCTCTGCTGGGGCATAAGGATCATGTGCAATTACATGCATTCCAAGTCCCTTGGCACGCCTGGCTACTTCAGAACCAACTTTTCCGAACCCCATTACTGCCAGTGTTTTCCCCACAAGGGATACCCCAACATATTTGTTTCTCTCCCATTTCCCTGGACGGATCCAATTCCTACTTAAATGTTAGAAATTTAAGAATAATGAAAAAAAATTCCAACTTTCAAGTCATTCCTTGTTTATATGATTTTCAAGTTTCAAGCTTTTTTTCTTTTTAAATCTCGGCAGTGAAACTAATACATTAAATCGGTACCAATTTATAACTATACGGCTACACCACGAAAAGAGCACAGAAACTATTTGAAGAAATGCCTAAATGACGTTAAAAAACAGAACAAACCCGCTTTAACAGAAGCATCGGCCTGGGCAACATTCCTGGCCATAGCAGTAAGCAAAGCAATCCCATGTTCCGCTGCCGCAATGGTATTGGCAGTAGGCGCGTTAACCACGAGACATCCATGTTCCGTAGCAGCCGATATATCGACGTTATCGGTCCCAACACCAGCTCTCCCCACAACCTTGAGCCTTCCCATAGATGACTCAAACACTTCCCGAGTAACCTTGGTTCCACTTCTCACAATCAAAGCATCACAAAGTGAAATCTTGGTGCAAAGCTCTTCGGGACTCAAGTTGTAAGAGCAGTCCACGTTTGCGAAAGTTTTAAGCAGTTGGATACCGGCGTCACCGAGCTTTTCTGCCACGAGGACGGTAGGCTTTCCTCCGAAGACCATGGCTAGGACTACAAGGGTTTTGCGTTTTCTGGGGGGAGAAAAGAGGGGGCGAGAGGGAAGAGAAGGGCGCCATGGGAAAGAGAGAGTTGTGTCGGGGAAGATGGTAAGGTTCCATGAAGATAATCCGGACATTGCTGATTGGCTCTCCCCCTCACCTTCTCTCTGTGTGTAGCAGTGTTACATTCACGACACGTTGATTATCTTTACAACGATTGGATTGGATAGAAGATTTTTTTGTCCATCATTAAAAAAATTATTTGATGATCTGTTTATTACGTCATTTATGATCTAAAGAATAAAATTTATCTGTTTTAAAATATTTTTTAAATAATTATACACTGTTTTATAGGTACGAAAAAATGTGAAAATTTACCTTAAAAGTAGGTGAATAGATCTCATTTGTTATAATTATAAATGATGTGATGAGTCTTTTAATAAATTATTAATTTTTGAGATAATAAAATTCTGATTATTATTGAATTTATCAAGTAATTTAAGAAATTAAAATATAATATTATTTTTTCTTTAAATCCTAAATTTAAATAATTATATTTATCTATCTATTTATCTATATATTATTGATTAGAATGACTTTAAAAATATATTATCTTACAATAGTGTAAAATTATTCATAAAAGTTCTGATTATCACAAGAATACAGTGATCAATATCTGCATTTGAAAGTGTAGTTTCTTTTCAATTTCTAATTTTCGGTTAGTAAAATATATTTATAACTTTTATAATTATATTTTTATATAATTATAAAATAATGTTTAAATACGTAATAATAGTAATAAATATTTTAAGATTTTAATTTAATTCGTTGGACACGATATTCCTCCGAACGTTAACATTGGAATTTCCCTCTTATAAATTAAAAATACTTTAAAAATGTTTTACATAACAATTAATTGTTTGACTAAATTATTTTTTTCTATTATACTTCATATAAATATATTTGGCTAATAGTTTATATGTTCAATTCCATTATAATTTTAAACTTTAAAATTGTATAAATTTATATATCTTTACTGATATATAATGCTTGTAGGGCAGTTTAATACTCCTACGTTTCTTAGTAGCATTTTTGGCTTAAAATTATTTTAAAAGCAAAAAGTACTATCAACTAAGTAAAAATTAATTTTAAATGTGAATTTTAATTAATATAAAACATTGTTGATGATTAATGAAATTTGTCACATGTAAAAAATGTAGTCATGTTTTCGTAGTTGGTTACTTTCTTGTTATTTAATATATATAGTTTCCTATTTTGTGTGATGTAGTAAATTAATCTATTTAATATTAAAAGTACATGTTATAAGTTCATACTAATTTATACTTGTAATATATTCTTAAAATTAAAATATATTAATTGATAAATCAAAAAGTAAACATAATAGTTTATTTAGTTAGATTCATTAATATAAATATTTTTTGAACTAATAAAGGAATATGAATATTAGTCTATATATATATAATTAATATAAAAAATAAAATCAATTTTAAGTCATATATAATTCATTTTACATTTGTTTATGTGATTAAAATAAAAAGCGATAATTAGAAATGCAAATCAAAATAGGCTTTTGTATATTATTTATGATTTAAACATAAAATGATAATTTATTCTCATAACGTAGTTGTTGGGTGATTAATTGAGAATGTTGTCTTGAAATAACTTAGTTTAAATTAGTTTATCAATTAAGATGTATATTAAATAAGTTATGACTTTTTTTAATAATTTAAGTTGTTTACAAGATAATATCTATTTAGAATCTTTATTAATTATTAATAGAGAAAATAACCTCAGTGACCGAAAATTCCTTATAATATACGATTTTGACAAACTTTTTTTCGATTCGCCAAAATGACCAACAAAATCGCAATGCGATCTCTAAATCGCAACGCGATCTCTAAATCGCAACGCGATCTCCAGTATCGCAAATCAGTTTCCAGATTCGCAACGCGATTTTGACTATCGCAACGCGAATATGTAAATCGCAACATGATTCTGACTATCGCAACGTGATTCTGACTATCGTAACGCGATAATACATAATCGCAACTCGATTCTGACTATCGCAACGCGATTCTGACTAACGCAACGCGATTCTGACTGTCGCAACGCTGAATTTCAAATTCGCAATAGGTTTTAGTTTCGCAACACAAATGTTTTGGGTATATAACTACGCAGCAGCAGCAACTCATAACCTAAATCCCTAAATCACAACTCATTCCATCTCCATCTATCACTCTCTCCAGCGACATCCGTTCCTATATCCAACGACATCCTTCCCCATTCGACAATAGGTTTTAGTTTCGCAGCTCGTTTGTTTAGTAAATTAATTTACAATAATGAAATCATCTAATGTTGATCATGTTTGGATAGATTTGTGTTTTGGAGGGTCATGGGAGAATGTTCATGGCGTTTTACAATATATGCCTTTACCCATGAATCTTCAACTAAAACTGTCATTAAAAAAGTTAACTTATGAAACTCTAATGTTACGTGTTGCAAATAAATTGAATTTAGAGCCCTTAAGTGGATTTAGGCTATCTTATCAGAGAAAATGTAAAGTTTATTTGTTAACCGACAATGAAGATGTTGAACGATCCATTGCTTACATTAGTGTTTCGCAAGATGATGTTACATTGTATTTTGTTGAACCTAGAAGTAGTGAAGTTGGGTCAGTAGCGGGTAATAATCAACTAAGTTTTTCAACCCCATTTTATGGTGCTCAAAATTTAATGGTTCCACCACAATTTCATCACCAAGCAAAATTTGTTTCACCACATTTCCAATACCAAACACAATCTCAAAACCCACAACCTTTCCCTAATCCAAATCCCAATCAACTTTCAGCACCAAATTTCGGTTTTCGTATTGACCAGTTAGACGATGATGAGCCAACAGAAAAAATTGTGAGTACTAGTCAGTATTCGAAATTTGATCTTGGTCAATACCCAGACTTTGATCTTGGTCAATACTCGGATTTTGATGATGTTTCAGAAGAAGAAACAGACCCTGCGTGTAATGATTTTGATATTGGTCAATACCTGAATTTTGATGATGAAACAACCGCTGCCGAGGAAGATGTTGTTGATGATAATGAGGAGGAAGTTACGATTGTGAATGAACATGTTGAACATCCATTCTGTAATTCATATAACCCTGAAGAAGAAAAAGAAGAAGAAGAAATCCCCGAAGAAAAGTCCCCGAAGAAAATGCCACGGGAGTATAACTGAAATATGCCAGAATTACTTCAGATACCGGAAGAAGAGTTGGTAAAGATAGCAGTTGATTGTTACACAAAAATTATTTGTATCAAGAAAGATGATTGTTTTGATACAAAGGAAGACTTGAAGATAGCTTTGTATACGAAATGTGTGGAAGATGGCTATCAACTAAAAGTTAACAAATCAAGCAAAGATCGTTTCGAAACAAGGTGTATGATTGACAAAAACTGTACGTGGCGTATGATTGCAAAGATGATAAAAGATTGTGAAATGTTTCAAGTTAGGACTTTTATTGATAAACGTACATGTTCAAGAACCCAAGTTTTTCCTCACCATAGACAGGAAAACAAAAAGGTGTTGGGTGGTTTTCTGGCTGAGTTAATGTTTTTGAATGGCAGGGTATATCGGGGACATGAAATTACGACTGACATGAATGCTCGGTTCAAGATTAGTATCTCATATTCTCAAGCTTTGAGAGCCAAATGTTATGCCTTGGAATTGTTGAGGGGGTCGCCAGAAGCATCGTTTGCCCAACTACTGGCTTATTGTCACAATTTAAAGCTGAAAAATCCTAGGTCAGTAACTCATATCAAAACAGATAGAGATGGACGCTTTGAGTTGCTGTTTATCACCATTGGTGCTGCGGTTAGTAAATCAATATAATTTTGTTGACTCATTTTTGTTAGTTACATGCGTTTCACATTTAAATGATTATATTTCTTATGTATATGATTTTGTAGATTCGTTCGTTTATTACTTGCATGCGCCCAATTATTATAGTTGACGGAGCACATTTAAAAGGTCGATACCTTGGAGTAAACTTATTAGCAGTAGCCATGGATGCTAACAATGGGATACTGCCAATAGCTTACGGGGTTGGAAACTCTGAAACCTTTGATTCATGGACATGGTTTATGGGGTATCTTAGGGATTGCATATGTCCTATTAGCAATCTAACAATCATATCCAATAGGGCAAACTCAATTGACAATGTTGTTAGAAGGTGTTTCCCAGATGCTTTCCATGGACTTTGTGGTGTTCATTTGTATAGAAATCTAAAAGCAAGGTCTGCTGGTATAAAAAATCACAAATGGACATACTGGAAGGCTGTAAAAGCTTATCGGTAAGCGGATTTTAATAAGCATATAAATTGTTTAAGACGTATTTTGCCTCAGTGTGCTCAAACACTAGAAGATGTCGGGTTTGAAATATGGTCAAGAGTACATCAACTTGGACCAAGATATGGTTTCATGACGTCTAATAGTGCAGAATCAATCAACGCTCTAAGTCGTCATTCCAGGAAATTAGCCATTACTATGTTAATGGAGTTTTTTCGAGCCTCTATTCAACAGTGGTACTACAAGAAAAGAAACCATGCATGTATTATTTCTTTAAATTCGTAACTTATCATATATTTTACTAAGTATTATTTATTTAAATTTACAGGAACATTGGAACATCGTGTTACACCATGGACTGAAAAAAAGATAACGAAACGTGTTGTGAAGTCAACGTCATGGAGAGTTGAACCATGTTCAAACACTTTGTTTGAAGTACTGGATAATAACTTAAATGGGCTTGTCGATCTAAATGCAAAGACGTGTAGTTGTATGAAATGGAAAACATCTGGTTATCCGTGTGGCCATGTTATAAAAGTTGCTCTTCATCTAAACCAAGATGATTCAAGCGCATATGCTATGGATTGCTACACTACAGAAGTATATCGACAGACTTATGCCGAGATTATCTACCCTATTCCACATCCTTCTGAGTGGGACATACCAGATGACTTACAAATAGTTTTACCACCAGCCATGGACAGAAGGCTACCTGGCCGACCAAAAAGTCACGATCGTATACCGTCCAAGGGTGAAGAGAAGAAGAGATCGACATGTAGTCGGTGCAAGGAAAGTGGTCATACAAGGTTGACATGTGGATCACCA